GATGTTTGACAACGAGCTCAAGAGCTTGGGACTTCAGATTACGAGGTGTTACAGCGATAACCGAAAGGCGAACTTCAGGACCCATCTAGCTTTGAGCAGCTTCGGTGGAAAGATGAAGGAGCGTTTCGATGGCATTCTAGCAAAGCAGTACACAAGTTGGAAGGGGTTCCAGTTCTTCGAAGAAGATTTCGTTGAGGTTTCCGAAAATGCGAAGGCGTGGATGTCAGGGCCAAACGGGGGAGAAGTTCTCGGCGCTTTGAAGACATCAGCAGAAGCCACTGGATTGGGCGATCAAGAACAACCTGATGCTGCAGTAGAGGAAGGCGAAGTCGTCTATCTTTCATCTGAGTCTGACAACGTTCTAACTCACTTGAAGCCCAACAGTACATACATTATCGGTGGACTGGTTGACAAGAACCGACACAAAGGCATATGTCACAAGCGCGCCGTGAACCGTGGGATCAAGACTGCAAAGCTACCTATTGGCGAATACCTCGAGATGAAAAGTCGGCAAGTCTTGGTCACGAACCATGTGCTGGAGATTATGCTCAAGTGGATGGAGTTTGGGGATTGGGGCAAGGCGTTCATGGCGGTCATGCCCGAAAGAAAGGGTGCTAAGCTTAAGAGCGATGGAGACGACGGGGAAGAAGACGCAGATGCTGCGGGAGATGAGCATTTGGATCGAGACCTCGCAGAAGCGACAAAGGAGGCAGACGCCGAGACTACATAGACCGTCTGGAGCTTCATTTTGAGAGTGTAGAGATGCCGACACTAGTAGCATTCAATCAAGAATGGAACTCTCGCTACTTTCTCGAGCCGATGCATGCCATGAGAAATGCGACTCTGGGTCGCGGGGATGACACATGTTAACTATCACGGCGCAGAGATACCACCGCCAGGACCGAGCATTACTATCTGAACCACAAACATCCTCGAGTTTTCGACTGACAATGGGGATCCTGGCTTGAATGCACGATGAATACGCGAGGTCAGCCCTACCGGGTAGCGGAGATCAAGCTTTCGCGCGACACGCTAGCAAGCTAAAGCGGTCAGGGCTCCGCCCGCGGGCAAGCTACACGTCGCGGAGCCAGAGGGTGAAGCAATCACAGAGCATACATCGCCGACATGTCCTGTATTAGTATGCGCTCATCAGAGCCTTCGGATATGCATTCACCGCAACCACAGGCCTGCTTATGTAACAGCCACGTCCCATCCTGGTGGTGTTGTGAGGCTCCAAGCAGCTGTCAGCCCACTAATTTTGCGCAACGTCACAGCTACTCTGCCCTGCGACAGCCCCAGCACACCACCTCCAACACGCGACCCACATTAATTCAGGAACATTACTCCCATCGCAATTAGTTGCCGCTCATGTCGTACCCACCAGATACCCCGTCCTCTTCCCCGTTCCGCTCGCCCTCGTCGCAAACCTCACCGCCATCGCAGCGCTCTACACCCAACCGCTCGTCCTCATATTTCACCTATCCCGTCTCTTATGCAGTCTCGGGCATCCTGCGACGCTTGAACACGGACGCCATTCCCAAATCAGACGCGCAATCGAGATCGGAGAACAACAGCAACCGTAACAGCGCAAGCAACATACAAGCCCAGTTGCAGTCCACCGCATCTTCACTTTCACACACATTTGCGAACCTCGTCTCCTCCACCACCTCAGATATGAACTCGGTCTACCAGCCGCCACATCGGATAGCGAGCCCTTTCCAACCGCCTCCCTTGACACCGCTAAGTCTGAGAGGATGGGGAGGCAACATGCGAGAGAAGGGCAAGCTTCTAAGCACGGCGCTTGCTGAAGAGATCCGGCTCCTGCTTCCACCAAGGTTACAACTAGTGGATGAGTGGAGTCTGGCATATAGTCTGGAACAGAACGGTGTCAGCTTAGGCACACTATACAAGCAATCTGAAGACTATCTGGGCAAGAGAGGTGGCTTTGTACTGGTGGTCAAAGACGGCAGCGGAGGTGTAAGTTTGCGAACGTCAGGACAACCCCAGGGCGAATGCTTACGTAGCGCTATAGATCTTCGGCGCATATCTCTCCGACGCACCGCGGCCCTCCACATCATTTTACGGCAACGGCGAATGCTTCCTCTGGCGCGCGCACATACTCTCAGGTTTCTCAGACCTGCAGATGAACCTCCCACCACCCCCATCCGAAGATACGACGGACGCTGTGCGAATGACAACCATATCTTCACCGAAGAGGAAGGGCGATTCGCTAGCACCCCCACAGAACGGTCGGGCCAGTAAGAGTGGTGCGAGCACGCCAGAACGAATAAGATTCAAGGCATTCCCCTACAGCGGGGTGAATGACTATATGATCTTTTGCGAGCATAGCTACCTGAGTGTTGGCGGCGGGTAAGTAGCAGCGTGTTGTTATCATTAAGGACTCAGTGGACTGACGGTGTCGCAGTGACGGTCACTATGGCCTATGGCTAGACGACAACCTCGAAAAGGGCGTCTCCGATACGTGCCCGACGTTTGGCAACGAGCCCCTTAGTGACGATGGCAAGAAATTCGAGGTCATGGGCGTTGAGCTGTGGTACATTGGCGTATAGGACCAGATCGTCTACGGCCTTTCGCTGAGCAGAAAACTCGTAATATTCGGCACTGGCGGCATTTCGACGGCGTTGGAAGACGGCGTGGAATTTGGCTATGACAAAGCTACATAGCTTATGATGTATACCGTGTCTGGAGTCACCAGCAGAGGACGGTGATGAGCAGAATACCCATTTGAAGAGTTTGTTTTACGCTTTTCATCCTTTCGATCGGCGCCACGGAGTATCATGTCTCACATCAATTGATGTCTTTGTCATCCGGCTGGGCTTTCTCGACCACGTCGGCTGATCCATTCACACACAAGAGATATACGATTCTTCGCGGGCACGCCAGCCTAGGACAAATATACACAATCAGAGCCTGCGTAAAAGTTAGGTCACCTGCTTTGCAAGTTCTTGTATTAATGTAGTCTGCAGACCTGTTCAGTTTTTTTCTTGTATAAGGTGCAGGTACGACTATAACGTTCGCTCTATTCGGAAAACTTATTGGCTGCCTTCAAAACGACTGTCATGCTCGCCTTGCTCGGATACTGGAATGCTTCTTGGCGGTTCTCTTACCTTGAGGTACCGTCACCGCTCTATGACGAGGTGCGCACGGCCCGGCTCTCACCCTCTTGTGTCTGCAGTACTTCTATCTAGGTCGTGTCTTCCGTGCCCTCCAGCTTACAGCATTCTCATTCTACAAGATCACCATTTGTGCAGATGACCATCACTAAATCTCGAGGAGTGACCAAGAAGTTGGGGCCCATTATGTACGTCACTCCGTCCCTCTTATACCACATGTAACTTGCTGATATTGCGCAGTGTGGGCAACAGAATCATAAGCTTCAAGGCCCCCAATATTGATCGTCGCTTCACTGTACATGAAGGTAACAACACATAAAGCCATTTCAGGAGTCCAACATACTAACACCATTCGTTTACCGTAGACCTCATCTGCAACACTTCTCGATTCTTCAAAGACCGCCTCCAGAGAAACCGAAAGCCCATCTTCAGCATTGATGAATGTTGCGTCTGCGCTGAGACTCTCAACGCTATGATAGGAGACATCTCCTTCTGCTCCAAGTGCGGGCAAAATGTCCACGAAGTCTGCATGGAAGCCTGGAAGCGCTCATCGACTACCAGTCTCAAGAAGGAGTCAATCCCGACCTGTCCGATGTGTCGTGCGAGCTGGAAGAACGAGTCACTACCCAAGGAGCTAGACCTAGAGTCTGAGCTAGACGCTGAGGCTACGCAAATCTACCTGGACTGGCTGTATACCTCCACTTTACACATATCCGCAAAGGTCTCTCGCATTAACGATGCCTTCAATCTTGTCATCCTCAAACTCTGGACTGTTGCCAACGCCGTCGAAGATCCAGTGTTCAAGTCGCAAGTCATTGCCACTTACTTCGCAGAAGCTCGCGCGCGTTTCTGGAAAGAGAGCGTGAAGTGGGCTTTCGTGGAGCGTAAGTGCGATGACGAAATTCGAGCTTTCGTCATCGACATATCGCTTGCCTATATCGAGCCCGGTTGGTTCAAGAGCGAGGGCAAGAACTGGCCAGAGGCCTTCGTGAGTGAGCTAGCAGATGCAGCCATGGTCCGGTGGGGAGACAGGAAAGATGGCAGAGCGACAAGGAAGATGTGGATGGAGAAGCTGAGCGTAGAAGTGGATCTGACGAGCGATGACGAAGATACTGCGCCTGTAGGCGGCAGCACGAGTTTAGCGTCGGCAGCACCGCGAAGTCTGCAAGGCAAGCATCCAGCTGTTGGTCTAAATAGTCCTAAAGCTGGAGCTACAGAAGTCCCAGCAACCAGGAAGCGTCCAGGTCAAAAGGTCGAAGTGAAGAAGCATGCACATAGCGCGAAGCGTCGGTTGAAGCAAGATGTCCGCTCCATGCCTCTTTCCGATGACTCGGACGACGGCGGACTGGTTGTATACAAGTCGAAAGGATGAGCGTTCGTGACGGCACTAGGAGTTTCCTGTCTTCTTGTCTTTCATTCTGATGTCTTGCACCTGACATTCGGGCCTTACACTACCAAACACGGTATACGACTTTGTTGCTTGTTTACGCCCAATCGAACTGCATTAGCTCGAAACGAAGACAATCGAACGACTGTGTACATCACATCTTTACCCCGACCCATCATTCGTGTCTTACCTTGACCTCCACTACGTGAATCAGAACAGATTTCACTTTGAGAACACTCGGGGCCTCCGCTCATTAAGATTTCAGGGCCCCAGGCACTCCTACCGGTTGTGCGTTGCGCACGGATCTGCATCTACCGAAGCAACATAGTGCGACTGAACGATAGAATATCACTCACCCATAGGTACTAGCCTAATCGGCTTGACGACCAATGCTCACAACTCGACCAAGTACCGCCCAAGAACGACCCTATCAAGCCATCGCACCATTGAGGTAGCGGAAGATGCCAGGACCGGGAAAGATGCCCAAGCAGGAGAAGCGCATCAGCGTTAGGAAGAAGCGAGCTATCCGGTACGTTTTCTGTGAGGATTGTAACACCAACCGCTAACCCGCTCCTAGGTTCGGCCACAAAATCGTGCGCGTCCAAGTTTCACGCGGCGAGGAGTTCACTGTCCCCGAAGACATTATATGCAGCAGATCCACATTCTTCACGAAAAAGCTACAACCGAAGCGCAAGCCTCTCAAGAAAGACAGTGAATGCGCGATCTGCACGGAACCGCTCGAGCACGGTATACAAGAGCTTACTTACTGCGCTACACATTGTGGTAACAACTTTCATCATAAATGCATTGAGAAGTGGAAGGCGGAGAAGCAGACAGCTCGTCAACCAGTCAACTGTCCTTTCTGTCGTCACAGCTGGTCGAATGACACCAACGTCATCACAGTACATAAGTTTTCCGCCATCGACGCTGATGCCTTCGCAATCTTTGTTGAGTGGCTTTACTATGATCATATCGCGGTTGAAGACCGGGCGGACGAAGATGGCAAATTCTCTCTTGACACACATGAACTTGTTAAGGCATACGTTTTAGGACTCAAACTAAAGAGCAAGAAGTTCTGTCGAGACGTTATACAGGGATTGGTCGAAGTTAGTAAAGACATCGATGAATATCCGGGTCCGGACAGCATCCGCCTCGCTTACGATAAGACAGCCAAAGGATCATCACTAAGGCTGGTCTTGGTACAACTATGGGCAGACACAGCGGATGCTGCTTGGATTGAGGACGATGAGACAGACGAGTATCCCGCAGAATTCTTGAAGGATTTGACAATCGCTCTGTTGAGGAAGTACCGTGGTAAACAGAAGTGGGATCTAGAAATGATAATAAAAGGTCAAACGGTGGAGGACTCTATCTTAGTTGACGACTCAGATGAGGACAAGTCGCGTGAAGACGAGGATCAAGAAATGGGGGACGGAGAATAGGAGGATGACGAAAAGCTACATCAGTGAGTACAGGGCACTTACAGCACTTCATACTACTCGATATTTGGTACTGTGGCTGGTAGATAATATCAGTGGAAGCAATGCACTAATAAGTATGACTTTCGACTGCTAGGTATACGACTTTCATGGTGGCTTCAGATATGGAACAACGGTGTAGTGAACCACTTCTTCTTGTCATGCAAGTCGCTGTACGCCGACTTCAGGACCCCTGAACTACTTGAGCATCCTCGGCAACCGTAGCGTGTACTCCATCAACTTTAGCCCCACTTGCAGCTTTCTTCGCTTCCTCCTCTTCACCCACTTCGACAAGAGAGTCATCCTATGTCTTCCTGTCGATATCTACCGCCTCAGTATGAGTTGGCGACTCCTCCTTAGCAAGTACACCACCATCTGTGTGCTGCATTTGACGCTCAGGATCATTCGCATGCGCATTCTCAACACCGATTTCGGCTGTTGAGAACTTATCTGCGACATTACGGTAGGCTGGCACAAAGTTGACACAGAAAGCATAGCTCCACGCCGCAACGAAGAACGCCATTGGAACGGTCATGGCGATAGCGGTGGGCGCATATCCATCCAGAGGCCTAGCCTTCCCTAGCGTATCACTCGCTCCGAACAGTAGTGGAGGGACGACAGCACCACCAGATACACCGGCCACGATGAAGCCCGAGCCTCTCTTTGAGTATTTGCCCAGTCCGCGCATGCCAAGCGCAACAATCGTCGGGAAGATAATACTCTCAAAGAAGAGTACAATGTAAAGCATGCTCATGCCAGTATTGCCTCGCTCGGTAATGGACGGGATGATGAAGATGATACATAACGTCATGAACGCGAGGAACACCCATCGTGGTTTGACGAACTTCATGAAGGCGCTGCCAATGAAGCGACCCATGGTAAAACAGCCCTGCGCACCAGCCAGGAACCGAGCTGCTGTCGAGTTGTCGGTCTCACGTCCATTTATGACCCGTGTCTCGACGACATAGTTGATGAAGGCTCCAGCTATCGCCACCTGCGCGCCAGTGTAGCAGAACTGAGCAAATGTCGCATGGAAGAGACGGTATTGTTTGCGGAAAGGCTTTACGTCGGTACCAGCGTGAGTGCTCTCAGCCTGGAAAGCCATATCGGCATCTAGTGGATGTTAGCACCTGGTCATTTCCCATTAAGGAGCAAGCTTACCAGTGATCTCAGGTATCTCCGTGAAGTAATAAACGATCGCAAGGAGAAAAACGAAGCATGCGATACCGAGGTAAGTCCATTGCACGTTCTCAAGGGATGCTTGATCGGTGCCAACGTTGTTGAAGAAGACATATGACCCTAAAACTGGCGCTACCACAGTTCCGATGCCGTTGAAAGCCTGAGCGATGTTGATTCTGATCTCCGAATACTTGGGTGGTCCGCAAACTACTTTCGTCAGTACTGCACTCATCATTTAATCAACTCATACATACCAGCCAGGTAGGGGTTGGCTGCTGTCTCAAGCGAGCCAAGTCCATTACCGATGACGAAAATGGCTACACAGAAGCCTCCGAACGATCGATATACAAGACATGGCCAGGCAAGAAGAGAGCCGACACCGTAAAGTGTCAGACCCCAGATGAAGGTTGCTTTGTAGCCCCAGTGGCGCAGAAGCCAATTGGCATGACCGAGGGAAGCAAGTGGGTACGCACCGAAGTATGCTGCCTGTAAGCCTGAAGAGCGAGCGCGCGTTATGCCAAGGACGTCTTGGAAATGCTTGTTGAGAGTATCGATGAGACCGTACGAGAACCCCTATGATCATCAGTCAAATACACTGGGGTTAAGGCATTGTCGTGGCTCACCCAAAGAAAGAATAGAATGGTGACGAGGCAGAGCGGGTAGATGGACTCGCGCAACGTGAGTTCAGCGGCACGCGTCCTCTGGTCATCGCGGCTGCGCAGTGTGGGTCTCTTGAGAAACCTCATGTTCGCTTTGTCATACGATAGAAATGCCGATTAGCGATTGGTATGTGGATAATGCCGATCAGGTCGTGGACTGGACGAAAGATTCGAGCATTGAGGTTGAGTTGAGTGGAGTCAACAGCAGGCAGTCGCGACGAAGGAGATCCGCAGGGTCTTCACGCCCTCAAGTACCTGCTGTCACCCACGTGAGCTGGCGGCAGAAATGTCGGGCCATGTGCACGGCAACCAGGTTTCGCAAGAACAGACTCGATCTCAGAGGGTGATTCTACGAACCCGCCGTTGCAGCCAAGATGAGGCTTGACCTCATCAAGCAGTGGGGAGGGGAGAAGCTGGGGTAAAACCTGGGGATTTTAACGCTGAGGAGTCTAGCGTGATGTGACGTTGGGAGGATGTTCTGACAGATGATGCATCCTCGGCAGAGTTAGACCGAATGCCTGCATCGATGGGGGTTAGATCGGGTAGTGATCAGCACATGTCGCGTCATGTCTGAACCGCGTTGAAGAGCCGCGGTACATTGCGTGTGCATCGGGCTTTCTGTGGAAAGTAAGTCGAGCAGAAGTTGCGATAGCCATGCTTGTAATAACGGCAGTCGCAATTAGCGTAGTCAGTACCGCTCGGGCAAATATCACCATACACGGCGTCCAGGAGCACCCTAACATGGTGAGAATCACAGATTATTCCAGAACTGCAATGGAAGATTTGCCCATCTAATCTTTGTTCTTGAAATCCAAGCCGCTCTCTTTCCTCACAACTCCGTAAACACTCGGAATATCTCCTCTGTCCCCGATTTCACTCTTCACCTTATCCAGTCTCCCTTGTGCTAAGCCTAGCATCTTCATACTTTCCTTCGCACCACTACTCTCTGCCAACGACATCGCATGTCTTGCGTCCTTTCGTGCCAAGTCGATATGGAAGAGAGGTTCCTCGCGCTGATAGTAGTCGCCGGCTAGCATGCGCTGCGAGTACGCGGTGTAGGGACCGGGAAACATGGTAGAGACGAATGTGTGGAGGTTGTCTACCCCTAGACCAGACTTTTCGGCAAGGACGTGGCCTTCAGATAGCTGCGAGACCATGTTCAAAATGAAAGTGTTGCCGATGACTTTCATGAGGGTAGCGTTTCCTGCTGGCTGGCCTGAGTAATCGATGTTCGTACGACCCATCACGCCTGTCGTATACGGGACTACCTTATCGCAGGACGCTTTTGAGCCTGCTGTCACACAAACAAGCTGGCCGTTGTCTGCCATGGCTGGGGCACCGAATACTGGGATGTTGTCAGGCCCGTCCTGAGGGAGCACTTCTATCTTCACATGCGTAACTTACCTGGCATGCCCACGAACTCACCCCCCTTCTCGGTTATCTTTTTCTCCAAAGCATTCGTCGTTTCTGGGTGTACCGTGGAGCAATCTACAATAAGTTTGCCCTTGACATCTTCTTCGAGCATCTTGTCAACAGCAGCGTTCACGGCTGCATCGTCGCCCAGGCACATGAAGACAATGTCGGAAGGTTTGACAGCATCGTTGATGGTATCGACAACCTTGGTCTTGGAGCTGCCGAGTTTGGATGCGAGGTCTTCGGAGCGGGCTTTGGTGCGGTTGAACAGGATTAGGGGCTTATCGAGGTTACCCTTTTCCACCAAGTTCTGTGGAGTCAGTACGAAAATCAATTTAGAATCTTAGATGCTTCATACTTTGCACATGCCCTGTGACAGTTAGTGACATGGTCGAGCTGATGACTTTCCTCACTGACCCTGCCCATGTTGCCGAGGCCAATCCAAGCGAGTTGTGGCGCCATGATTTCTTCTGGGATCTGACTGTATCCTTTCGCTCTCCACGAAGAGGCAATGCCAAGTGCGACAACTTATACAAATCTATGCTTGTACCTTGCGCACCGTTTGTCAGCGCTTCGTCATGGTGTTCATCATCGTCATCTGCCAGTAGCCCGGGGATAAGGCCACACCGGGCCGATGTCGGTTACCAGCAAATGACGTTCGCACCCCGTTATCGATGTTGAGTTCTCGAAAATGCGGATGCGGGCACATTTCCCCACACATTTGCAGAGTCATACCTCTGCTCCGAGCGCAGTCACACAATTTTGAACTTTCGCATGTTCGGCAGCTGAGCGGTAGCATGAAGCATGTTCATCTGGAGCAAAGCCCCCGCGAGGGGCTTGGGGAAGGCTACGAAGAAGGTGAGCGCGACGTCTTCAGGCGTAAATGCAGCAATATTGACCATTGACAGCTTCCCAAGCGCGATGACAGCGGTAACATCTTCACCAAGATTCAATGCGCGCCTCTCTCTACGTCCACCACCTACGTCCGAAAATCGTCGAGCTCTGCGAAAGAGCGCCAGCGCGCCGAACGTCAGCAGTTGACGCGTCTACTGAAGGAATCGCCCGGTAAACGCGACGCGCGCAACTTCCTCAAGCAGTTCGATGCGCCCAAGAAGGGCAAGGCGGCTATCGCAGCCAAAGCCAGGGAGGTGGTGAGCGAGAATATACACAATGACTCGGGTTCGCTGCGAACCGGTGTGAACCTGGGCGATCTCTACAAGCCCACCGTCTTCACCCGCGAACCGCTTCCCGAGGAGGAGTACCAGGCCGAAGAGAAGGATGAGCCGGTGCATATGGCGCTTGTCAAGCTTCGGCAGCCTCAGACCCTCGACGACCGCACCTTGGGCGACATCGCATTGACTCTGAGTCAGATGGCGCAGCTGGGGCTTAGCACTGCTGTAGTGCTCGACTGCGATCACGATGCCGATGCACACACTTCGGAATTGACGTTGGAATACGGAAACATGGTCAGGGAGCAGGCATTGCGCTTGGTCGCAGCGTTGGAAGACTACAACGAGCCAGGAGCTCTGTTGGTCGAAGATGCTTTGGGCTACTCCCCATTGGCCAACGACATACCCAGTACCGTCCAGGTACGGGGAGGTGTAGAGGTACAGCACAATTACCTGCTACTTCCGCCCATCGACGACGGCGTTATTCCAGTCATAACACCCTTCGCCTACGACACAAATCTGAAGAAAGTCAGGGTCCAGGCAGACGACGTGCTTCTGGCGCTTGTTCGCGAGTTTGCCGGTCTCGCCGGCCAGACAGGCAGCAATGGCTCAGTTGGTGGCGCATTGTACAAAACAAGGGATGTCGTCGAAAGACCTATTCTGGACCGCATCATTATACTTGATCCTCTTGGTGGCATACCATCCGAGAAGCGAGCAGATGGCGCTCATGTTTTCGTCAATCTAGAAGCCGAGTACCGTGACATCAAGAAAGAGCTGCTGCAGCTATCGTCAGCCACCCCGGATGATAAGACACAGCGTCCAACTTCATTGAGTTACAACAACCCGTTCTCGAAATTCGTCGAGGAAGAAATAGCATCGTTACCAGGTGCACCGGCACAACAGATTGGCAACTCAGCCCCGGTGCGCCATCTGAAGAACCTCGAAGTGGTCGAGCGCGGCTTGAAGCTGTTACCCCCATCGTCGTCTGGCCTCGTCCTGACACCCTTAGAAGCAGCAAGGAAAGCTATACCTGACGATGCGCGGACTTCCCCTGCGAAGAATCCTCTATTGCATAACGTGTTAACAGACAAGCCGATGACATCGTCGTCGCTGCCGACAACTCCGACTTCTCGTTTCCTTGGCTCTACCGCACCCAACCCTGCTACTTTCTTTAAGAAAGGCATACCACTCACCATGATTCCGGATCCGCGGATTCACGGACCGTGGCAGCCACCCTCTGCAACGAACCCGAGCATAGAGCTAGCAGACGACCCGCGCATCAACTTCCCAAAACTCGTCGACCTCATCGATGACTCTTTCCGACGTAAACTGCATCCTCAGAACTACCTCGACCGTATTCGTGGCCGTGTGGCCGGCATCATTATAGCGGGTGATTACGAAGGTGGCGCCATCTGCACATGGGAAACGCCCGCATCCCTCCATGGGCTCAGTACTCCTAGCAGGCCTTCTCCAGACTCGCCATACTACATTCCCTATCTCGATAAATTCGCCGTTCTCACGTCGTCGCAAGGTTCCGGTGGCGTCTCCGACATTGTCTGGGCTGCTTTGACTCGAACATGCTTCCCGGATGGCGTAGTCTGGAGGAGTCGGACAAGCAACCCTGTCAACAAATGGTATCAAGAAAGGAGCAAGGGCATGTGGAACTTGCCTGGTGATCAATGGACCATGTTTTGGACTACGCAGGGTGTCGAGAAAAGATGGAGTGCTGAGGAGTGGGGTGGGACAGAGAAGGAGAAGGATTTGAGGAGATGGGATGCCTATGTAGATGTCTGTAGCGGCATTGAACCGAGCTGGGCGGATGGCATACAAAGAGCGGATTAGATTTAGTGTCTAAGCAAGCCACGAACCCTCAAGTACTTCTATCAGACAGAGACGTCATACCGTGTTGCTATTCTTTCAATCCAGAAAAACAGTCTCATGATGAGCGTGTGCCCATATGAACCGACATGCCAGTATCTACAGCTTCCCAACTGCGACCACCCATGATTCCTATTCTGAACGCCTACCGCATGCGACGCATCCATGAAGTTGATTCCCGATGTTGTCCAAAGTGGTAAGAGCGATCTTCCATCATGGCAACGGCAGCCCGTAGCGGACAACATCGCGAAGGCAAAAGCCCCACCAGCGCAGTATCAGAACACTCACCGACTTGACGGTAGCGACGCAGAAAACACCCAAAGCACACCGACAAGAAAGCTTCAAACGATGTTAGCCTGCGCGGAGGCCTCTAGGGCTGTCGTGGTGTAATCGGGATCACCAAACCGGCGCGCTTGGAGGGACGCGACTGCCGTGGGGAACCGAACTACGGCTGCCAGGAACACCGCTATCGCACCACAATGCAGGGCGGAGTGACCCAACACGGGATTTTGGGGTGTCGGCACGGGGGTGCATGGCTGCTAGCTTGCGAATTGTGTCTTGGTCTCTGTTGATGGAAAATGTTTATTGGAGGTGGTCGTCGCTGATGTGGACGAGTTCCTTCATCCCTCCTTTCATACTCCAAAGCCATTAACCTCAATTCCACACCTATACCAAAACAATCTCAAGATGTCGGACAACACTATCGTAAAGGGCGTCGCAGGAACCTGCATCACATTCTCTTTCATTCTTGCCGGTAAGACCGGACTCCCGTAGTTCCCAATTTCACTTCTGACGATCCCAGGAAATGCCATCACACAGTCCTACATGACGGTGCCTGCCCTCCTCGTCAACTTCCCCCGCCCAGGCAGCCCCGACCACAAAGAGCGTGCGCAACTCCTAGGCCGCCAGTGGCCTCTGTGCTGGACAGTCGGCAACCAATTCTTCCGCCCCATCTCGACCCTTGGATTCCTGGGTTATGCCTACGCCGGCTACTCAGTCTACCGCGAGGGCATGCTCGCTCGCAGCGATTGGAAGTTGTTTGTATTGAATGGGATAAATTGAAGATTGATTGAAGACTGAAACATAGGCGGAGACGCCCCTATATACCCCAGAGGTGGCTGGTACCAGCCACCCCAAATATCATGAACTTCAACACTCCCCCTCAGGCTTCAGCTCAATCGCCCATGCCGTGTAGGCCTGTAGGCTTCAAGCCAGCCAGCCTCATTAAACTCCCCCAAACCTCTTGGGACAAAAGGGGAGAAGAGTGCCGCGCTGTTGCTTGAATCCGAGCTCCCCCATGCTAACTCCCCCATTTTTCCAGCCCGATAGCTGCCCGAAATCGCTGGAAGGCATCCTTGGGCAGCGGCTTGGTGAGCCCATCAGCAATCTGCTTGTCGGTGGGCGTGTACTGAAAGTTCACACTGCCTGCTTCTTGCGCCTCCCTGACAAAGTGCCACTGAATGTCAATGTGCTTGGTGCGTGCATGGTTGTATGGGTTGCTGGCCAGCGCTATTGCGCCTTGGTTGTCAGCCAAAATGGGCGTTG